CACGAAGCGAGACCACTACCACCAGGTCACGTGGGCGTTTGATATGGAAGCGGCGAGTTCGCATTTCCAATTGATACTGCCGCCGAGCAAAATTCGGGCCCCCATAACTTTTTAAGGAGAATCATTTTGCAGTTTTAATTCCCATTTTCGTAGACAGCATTCAAAACTCTATCGATTCATCTGGATCTGAATTCAAAGTTCCAAGATAAATAGACTACCCCTCCCTGGTTAGGGAGGAAGCCCTTGGAATTTTTCTTCTTCACGCGAGGCTCTAACAAAATTGTTTCTCGAAGTAGCAAACAAGTTCCTATCTATGATGTGATTCCACTCTTGACAGGGTTAAGAGAAATCTGCAGTCACTTGATTTGATTTGGTTTGTTTTGCCAACTGCTGATTATCGTGTCAGTTGGAATGTTATTACTAATGTTATCACGTGTGCTCTAGCAATGAGTTACATAGAGACTTAAAGGCACAGTTCTCGGCAATTTTGGGTAATCCAGATCATGATGAAAAATGGAAATAAGGTGAAAAATAGTGCGATGAAAGCGAAGAAAGTGCGCGATTCGGCGTTCCCAAAGTGATAGAAGGTTTGAAAAATCGTTAAAAAGGGGCTGGATAAGAAGAAGATCAGAAAAATGAAAGGGGTGTTTGAACAAGCTATAAAATGTGTGTCATTGCGCATGTGTGGGTCCTGGTGCAAATAACTGACCACAGCAAAAATGAACCTTAAAATTCAATCACTCATAAACATAAGTCAACAAAAAATCTAGTAACTCCAAACTAACCCACCTTTTTCACTCTCTTAGGGTAGGAAATTAAGTTAGAGATCGCAACAGCAGAAAGAATAACAGGGAATAAAAGAATAGGAGAAAAGCGTCGCTCGTTACTCGGCGATTAGCTGATTGTGTGTGGGTGCCAGAGCGAATGTTGCAATCTGTATCGCCACGACACTCATCTGAGGTGACATCGGTCGAGGGGCGGAAAGTCAGGGCGATCCGGTAACGGGCTTCCACCATGCCCTAACTGTTGAGTTTCTGGGGCGCGAGAGGGTCCTTCCTGTTACTCTTGAAGGCCACTAGATATTCTCAACGGTAAAACTAAGAAACCATTTTTACCGTGAACCGTGCCTTTAAAGGCACAATCACAATAGATTTTAGGTTCCCTTTATAAGTCAAGAAGTATTGGTTGATCTAGCGCATCGGTGGTGATGAAAGAAAGAAAATAAGGTTCCTAAAAAGTAGCTAAAATAGAGATCGTACGGGATTACCATAACGAGAATGACATGGAAGGGGAATTTGGACGAGATTCCAGTTGTTACAACCGCACAAAGAGCTGTCTACTTCAGGCCAACTTGTCCGGAATTGCCTTTCGCTGTCGCTGCGGGTCATGACAAGTTGTTTGAATTTTTGTCTGAACTTCCTACATGGGTTCTCTTGTGAATGGTGCCTCTACAATGTCGATGAGACTCGTCCGCGCACACACACGTGACAGTCTTCAAGCCTTCATAACGCCCTAGCTAGACCCTTTTCCGGCCTGACAGCGCCACGTATGGTACACAAAGGGGCCGCAGATTTATCCCGGTGGGATATATCACAAGCCATTTCTATCATGAAATCTGTCTTTAATGTGGACTTTGCTCTTCAGGGTGGACACGATCGTATTAGAATAGGATCATTGCTTGATGTTGTAATTTAGGCTTGATCTCTCTCGAGTTTGTTTGATCCGGCTTAAGCTAGATACCGCAGAAACGTAAGCCACATAAAGTTCAGATGGAAACCTCGTGACAGTTAACCCTTTGACGACAATGGCACCCGCCGGCGGGTGCCACTATTACTGGCGCATGGGGCCATGGGACCCAATGTTGGGTGCCACCATGTTTTCTTCTTTATTTGCACATTTGAAGCTTATTTAATACTTTCATTTTTAATAACAAACTTCATGGTATTTATGTTCAAGGTGGTTCACTTTATTGTTTTATTAAAGCTCATTCATTACAAAAATATATATACAATGGGGTATCACTGAAGAAAAAACCTAGGTACTCTCAAGATTCGTGTTCATTCTGGAAACATTGCAGACAGGAAAAGCCTGCAGTGTTTCCAGGATGAACAGACAGTTGTTGCACTGTGTTTTCACTTTTTTAGCATGCGCTCTAGTAAAGCATAATCTGATACTGAAGAGTCTTAATGTAATACGCATTTCTACTGTAGCCATTATTTTCAGAATTTGCCCCACATTGCTTTCGAACTCCATTTTCAAGCCTCACTCAATTACAATGGATGGAATAATAATCTGATACTACCATTTCAAGCGAAATATTGCTAAACTTATTGAGCCAGTGAAAGCAGTTGCTCCTAGGACCATGGCACCGACCGGTGGGTGCCAGTCGCGCACGAAAGGAAAGGGGTGTGGTCCCATGAGCGCGTCACTTCGAAATCGGCATTGTCGTCAAAGGATTAAAGGCATAAACTAAATCAAGCTTTAACCATGCAGGAGTTCATGTAAACCTATACGTGGAGAAGAGTACCAGGCTGAGATATATATCTCGTCGTCCGAAGCCAAACGTTTTGCACATCATCATCTCCGCAATAGGATTTATAGTGATCTTTCAAAGAATCACTTGTTAACTACCACGAACTCTGTCGCAAACCCCGTGTCAAACGGTCACCGGCTGCTCTCTCTCCCCAATGGCAATCACTGAATGAACAAATCAAAGAAATTTCAGCTTTCATAATCAATTTTTTATTGGAAAGAAAGCATGTTTTGCAAAAAATGGCACTAGCAAGCAAATTTTGGTCGCCCGCAACTTCCTTTGGAAGACTCTTTTTGCACTTTTGGTTTCTATTTTATAATTGTAGAGGCTTTCCGAACTCTATCGGCATACCTAGGTCTCTATTCAATGTCTCTTGGGTTTACCTTTTATTCAAAATTATTTTCATTTAAACCTCAGGTATCTGAGCATTTTAAATTGGTGTATATTTTTTCCGTGAGAAATGTTATTATGTTTCCCTGAATGTGCGAATTTACTTAGTCGCCCACTTAAAATCGTTTCTCGAGTCAAGAGTTGCTAGGCCGTTGTAGCTGACTCCACTTCCCCTTAAGTTCCCTACCGTTTCGTTATCACCACGTGCTGCCATTGCTCTAATCCCCTCTACTTGCCCCTCAAGTGCTGTTCTCGAAAAGAATCATAGAGCTGTGCATCTTGATATACTTGTTTTCAGGTCACATCACAAATCGCAGGGCAAATGGGCGAAAAAGTGTTTGAGGATTTGAACCATGACGATACATTCCACAATTCTCACTCTATTCAACTGGCAATGATTCGAGATCATGTTGTTGTTTGATTATGTACAAATAATTAATTTATTATCTAATAAAATAAAATAGCATATCTCAAATAAATACAACAAATATTATAGGTGTTCTGTAATTTTTTATACAAATGAGATCACTTGGTAAATTGAGAAAAGAGGTTTCGTAGAGCCTGAGACCCCTCCATGGGAACATAGTGGTCAGTCGGTGAACTCCGCAGCCTTATCGTCCTTATCGTCTTCCTCATCGTCATTTCGTTTCTGCATCACACTCCCTAAAAGGCTGCCTTGATTAAAATCGGTAGAAGAATTCTTTCCCAGACAGCTCTGGAGAATGGGACTGGTTGTTAAGGTTCTGTTAATGGAAAACACGACTAATTGGAACTCACTTAAACAGGTTGCTATTTCCATCATTATTCCCTTGGAAACGTCGTTCTGTAAAGCGCATTTGACCATGTTGTCCACAAGCCGCAGTTCGTTTGGCATGAATAAACCGCATCTACACAGGTATATGTATAATAGTATGAACAATAGTTGACTTATCGGAATACTACGCAATGTAGAATGGACAATGTAAGCTTGAAACTTACCCCAGTTTTATTGTGCAAGTGTTTTGGGCCGGGTAGAAGCAGCCTAGTAGACAACGATTCATAATCTTGGCCGGTTCCGTCAAATTGTTGAAAGAGACACCTAAAAGCATGGGAAATGAGATCCACCTGGTTATCTCTGCTTTGCTGATTTCTCTGTTTAGGTTTTTTAGGATTGATGTAGACACATTTTTCTCCGTTTAAGCCTTGTTACGATTTAGCTGCACTCTACAGTTTCCTTTTTTTATACCCGGCTTCCAATCGACCCACATGGCTATGAACATGTACATGCTTTCTGTAGGAAGGCTTACTCGGCCTAGGCGAGGTTCGAACCACGGACCGTGTCATAGCGCGTCTATTGCCACTGTAGCCATCTCCGCTGGGAAGCAGTTTTACTCCAATGACGCTGTGGGAAAAAGGCTATGACTGCCACCCACAGAACCATAGAGGCCGATTCCCGAACCAGAAATCCACGGGAAAGACACGGCTATGGTATGTGTGGTCAACCAAAGCGGGACTTGTGTTCTTTGAAGTGGTGGAAGTGGGCCAGACGGTAACCGCTGAACTTTACGCACAGCTACTCGCTCTCGTGGACAGGCTTTGCGTTGGCGAGCGGTCACTTTGACCACAAAGATTTTGCGCAACAACGCATCACCTCATGTGGTGGAAACTGTTCAAAGCAAATCAAAGAATCGGACAGGACAGTTCTGCCTCATGTGCATGATTCGGACCTTGCGCCTTCCGATTGCCTACTATTTAGGTCAATGCAGCACTCCACAGCTGGGAAAAAATCGAGAACATAGTCAACGTCAAGATTGGGTGTCTACTTTCTACAAGTTTTAGCCGAAGGAGTTTTCAGGAGGGTATGCATTTTTTTTGCGCCGTCGATGGGGACATAAAGGGTGAATGGATAAAGTCTTTGGGTGGTGTTCAATCCCTTCTGAGGTATGCGCCCCGCATTCGACTTCGATTCAGAATCATAGAGGCCTATTGGATTCGTGTGTGTCCCAAACAATGCTGAACCGACCCTGGAAGGATGCAGCCGATCTTTTTACAACAAAAAAATCGTTCAGACAGTTTAGTTCATTTTGAGCCTAAACTTCCAACCTTGTGCCCATGCTAAACTTATCCAGTCCCGAAGGGAAGGAGAGCTCTTCATTTCTACTGCGATTGTAGAGAGTTATTTCAACCAAAGAACAATCACTTCATCAGAACGTTGGATTTAAGTTGTATATATCTGAGAGAGGAGAGATGCGCAGCTGTGAAAAAGCTCCAAGCCCTACAGCTCCTATCGCGGGCTTGCTACGCAACAAACAACTGTATAGCTCGCACTCATTAGTAAGCAAGTAAGAACCATTTGCCACCAATTCATTCTCGTACAACTGAATAGTGAGAACATAATCCTTCATTAAGTTCATTGAGGAAGGGATTAGAGCCGGCTTCACATTTGGGTTAAGCGGAACGAGTTGCCATCCACATAGCACCTGTACCCATGAACTGATCTAGAGAGCGCCGGCTTGCTGAGGATAGCACACTTTAAAAGATGCGCGAAAAACCAACAATTTCTTGGTACTGTTTACATTTCCAAATGCAGTGCAGTGATTTATACAGGACCCGTTCGACCCGGACTCCTACTTGCGCTTATCGAGTTCCTCAGACTTATTTCAGATTCTACGCAATTTTATCGATGCCAGCAACATACAGGTTCAGGTAAAAGCCGAACACAAAGGCCCGAAAAAGCATCATCGTGACAGATTTTGCCTCTCGAAAGCAGGTGAAGATCAAGGATGAAATCCTTTGACCTTCATCAGTCCCGCTCAAATTAGAATCGTTTTGACAACTTGAATGGGTAACTGCTATACAACTGCTTACGTACAGCCAACCGATGTTTAAGTCAGAGTTTTGGCCCTCCCAGACGAGTCTGGTAGGAAAAGCGCTGACTCGGACGGTAACCAACCATGGGGAATGAAGGCGGGCGATATCCATCCACTGTGTTAGATTCCGCTTCCGTCATCTTCATCCTTTAGGTGTAGCACCCTGGTTCACCCTCAACTTAAGTGATACCCTTGCTCTTTATCTTGCAAAAATTAGCAAACGTGTAACTTGGATTTCTCAAAACTAACCACTAGAGCCGGAATTCCATAATAAGATGTGTTCCTGCCAGATTACGATACTACAAGATTAGGACCGAGAACATAAAGCGCAAAAGATTGCTGTTTTCCTCGGCTTTTGGTTCACGTACCATTTAAGGTCTTGGAACAAGAACATGCGCTTTATTAGTTACCAACTCCGATATGCTAGGAAGCCCCTTACCACTTAGAAGGCTCTACAGCAGCCTTTCTTTACAATATCATTTTTTCTAGGTGAAAGGGAGGAATGACTTGCCGACTTTCTCCACGATTTCCTTGAAATCTTTCTGGAAGATCTCCTCGAATACAGTAAAATTCCGTCGCCTCAGCACATTACTCTCATTGCTGGTACATCTGAAACACATGTTCTGTAACCCAGCAGACACAACTAAATAGTGTATAGGACTGTTACCCAGTGCCGGTACCGTCGTGAACACACTTCATTGTATTTGAAAGCACATGCTCGAATTGGTGCAGGCAAACTGGGTACTCAGTGGGCACCTTGTCACCGACTACCCTCTGAAAAGAAGAAATACATACTGAGTATGAAAACGAGCCTCCTGATTGTTAGGAACAAGTCTTCAGACTTCAATTTGGTTTAGGGAGAAGCTGTGGGATTACCTTGCACGTTTTCATGCATTCCTTGAAGTTCACCTGGGGTTTATGAGCTTCTACACACTTCATATACGCATCACATTGACATTGCCCCATAATACCAGCATCAGCCACCGCTGCGAAAAAGGCCAGTGCAAGCATCACTTGCATCGGCATTCTGAATCGGAAAGAAATCACTTTGAAAAGGCAAAGATCGAAGATCTGAACGAAAACAGGAGGCCGTCGAACAGGAAATGCCTGCCTTCAGAAGATCAACTACACACATATGTCAGAAATGAATTATCCCGAGTGGAACGCAAGTAGGAACTGTTCAACGGAAAGAATATGGATGTGGACGCACGGGACTGCTTATATAGTATAAGTAGTATTGATGTTTTGAGCTCGTTCTGTGATTCAATTAACATAGCTCATACAACAGGTTCTTCCTTAACATGTGCCAGCGACAGCAGCGTGACGTAATCGACAAAACATCCGCGTTTGGATCGAGATAGGCGTTGAGGAGCTTCGTGTTGTGTATATCACAGGACATCGGGTGATAAAAGAGATTCTTCCATTCTGTGAAAGATACATCCTTTATTCCGTACCTATAGGTGAAATCCATCAGAGGGTAATATGTTAGCCCCTGAGTAGCAGGGTTGAGAAACGTGCGTACGAGCTCCCACGCTCAACCCTTAAGGTAATTCATGAGAGTAAAATCAATTCACCTTTCTTTTATAGAAACCTCAGCGTACATCACGAGTAACGTCTTTACTGAGGTCTACAACTACATAATATGTATGATGTGACGTTCACTATGACCTGAATCGATTTAACCCATAATTCAAACCCATAAAAGCACAACTGCGATGACCGGTCACCAATGTGAAAAACAAGCAAGTACACTTACGCTTTGATTACCCTTCATGTTGGACGTCATAAACAAGCGTCTGGGCCGTAGATCGACAACCGCTTTCCATTTGCAGTAAGTTTCGAAATCTCCAAAGGCAATGTTTACGAAAAAAAATGGTTCACGAGATATTTCTCGAGAATGGATCTGTGGCATTCAAGTATCCCAGNCAAACCTCTACCTTCATTGCGCGCGAATGCGCGATCGGGTGCGGCGCGTGCGACGTAGTTTTCGGGAAGAAGATACCGGACCCAAGTATGCCATATGTGGCGCTGTTAGATCGGAAAACGAACAAGATAGGGCGAGAAAAAAAGTAAATAAAAGATTGTATCCGCTGTATGGCACACCCATAGCACGAGTTCTAACGGCTTTGTGGAGGTTGCACCATTTACAATGGGCATCTGAAGTGAAATTCGAAACTAATTGCCGTCCCTCACCCTACTGCGGCATTTGGGCACTTTTGGTTTAATGTAGCCAACTCTTTGTGCAAATGCAATATTGAAAACTCGTCCAAAAACCTCTCTATGGCGTTTTCGTCATAGTAATCACGCACAATCCCTGCTCACTACTTCCAGAAGCCCTATAGTCACAATTCATAGTATCTGTTGATTTCTTAGTTTTCTTATTCCTCACCAACACTTCCGCTTTTCAATTTAAAATGGTGCTTAAAAATTACCGTGAACTGACTGTACTTTGAAGACATTTTCGCGTCACCAGTGATCCGTGAGTCGCGCTTCTCAAACGTGGATAGTGAACAGGCAATGTTCTCTTAATTCGGAGATGATCGCTGTAAGGGCTCAGTTCACGTTTGAAACGGGTTCCGAGATTTTTCCCTTGGTTGAACCCAAGAATAGCCTAAGGGACCATGTGGGGTGTAAAACGGCCAAGGTAGGGCGTGATGAGGGCTGCGAATCCAGCTTGGCCGACATACACTCCCATAGCGGATGAGTTTTTAGACCTTGTAAAAGCTGTGGAAGCTGCACGATTTGCACCGCGACCCACACCTTGCACGCAGTCAGCTTACTGCAGCTAGCTGTATGTAACGGCGCACACAGTTGAGCAGTACCAAATACCCTCCCATGAAATTTTTATCGTTTCATTCTCGCCCAACCTCTTATTTTACCACATTTTGAAGCCTCATATTTTACAACATTCTTGATGCCTGGATACGCCGATTTCCGCTACTTTCGCACTATTCTGAACTATCACTGCCATTGCTCGTCTGAAATTAGATTCCCCAAAATTATCCTGAACTGTCTTTAACATCATGTGGTAGGGAAGGTTACAGGGCTATTGCTAACCAGAATTTCTCTCACAAGAGAGTCAGGCAAGGAAGCAGTATCCGTGCGTTGTGTTCACCATCGAAAGGAGGGTGCACCCGCTCTTTGTCCGTACTCTCCTTCAGAGCGCTACCTCGTCAGTAATGGGCATGTGAACGAGCCCTCAAGTCGAAGATGGGTCAGAATGGAAGACTATGATAGAACGCTTGACCACGCTGTAACTTTATTGCCACACCTCAAACTTGGGTAATTAAACCCAGTGAGAAGTAGAGAACAAGGTAATTGAAAGAGTGATGAGTTATTAACAATTGAAGCATAGAGGCATCGAAGCAAGGTAAAGCAACACAGAAAAATACAAACACAACATAAATAAAAAGGTTGCGAAGATGTACGGAAATTAATGAGAACCTGAATCTACCTGCACCAGATAGCATTCCCAAGGTATCAGGGCAATGCACCGGGTTGCACCGGATCGCACCAAAACCAATATGAGCACCAACTGCATCGAACAAGGAGGCACCAAAGCATCAATAGAGCATCAAATTCACCACACCACCAGCACACCGATCCGACGGGCGAACGGCTGAACTGAGGAGCATTCGTTGCGGCGGCAAGCTTATATGCCTATCATATCTATGTTTTCTATCCTCGAAGAACCCGTTGCAGAAATGTTAAGGTTGTGGGAACGGCTAGAAAATAACAAATGTGTATAATTTTGTTATACAGCGCCAGCTTGTTAGCGGGGTGTTCTACCATATTGTTGCTCCAAATCCTCCAGTTACTGCTGTAGCAAATTAACCTCGCCTCTTTGCGCTCGGCCCTTTCCGGTGACTCACGTAATGCATAGTGATGTCTCCGAGTAGAGCAGTATTTGCAAAATGTCTTTTTCTGCCAACATCGATCCGTCGGATGTAAAGTATACAGACAGTTGTTGCGTTAGACGCGTTTACAGCGTTCACTTACAGTGCTTACAATGGGGCAGCAATCGCTGTAATGTAGCCCTTTACGGTGGCAAAACGAACAGCACATACCTATCTTCCTTCATCATTTCGGTGATACATGCAATTGTTCGTTGAGGACTCTGTCGGTTGGATCGGATGTCTCTGCTTTACCTGTGGTGGTTTGTGTCGTGCCTTATATTGATATACGCTCTTGATACCGTTGTTGCGATGCGGGTCTTACAATACACCACACTCGTGATACCGAGGTTTATTGAATCCTCGAACATGGGCAATTAAACCGGAAGATTACGAAGAATCATTAATACATATTTAATAATATAATGCTAATACGATGTAATACAAAAGGCTGAAACCGGCGAGGATATGGTGTAACAATACTAGATGTGCGTATAAAGCGAAGGAAGCAAATGAGAGCGTAGTGATACTAGCGTGTGAATAACATGAAGTAAAGGGAAATAAGTGAACATTCCTGATCAATGCGTTATAAAAGGCGTTATAAAAAGCGTAATGATTGCGTAAGGAAAGCGTGGAGAAAATCAAAGGCAACTGACCCTGTCTTCGTTCGGGCGTGCTTATATTATGCAAGGCATCGAGCCTCGCACGACTGGAATGTGGCATTCTAATTTGTGAGAAAGCTGCGATAAAGAAATGTTTCCAGTCGCGCAGGGCTTAATGCGCCGAGATTGCAACTTGAACNTTGAACCGCGTTACAGTTGCAATACAATCCTTCGATCTGTTCTACGAGTTTTTTGCATTTCCTTTGGAGCTCGAGAAGATCCGGAGGTTGTGTCTTTCTTTCGTTTTGATCGATTCCGCCTTTGTTCCTGTGAATTCTCCTGCTTGGTTTCGTGCTCTCTGTTAGATTGGTCTTCGTCGTTCACTACAGGTTCTTCATCTCGACATTCGGACTCCTGCTCACAGTCATAAAAATCTCCCAAATCCACTGAGCCTTCTACTTTCTCACTCCTTTAGGCATTGCGTCTTGCTCTGAATTCTAGGTCTGTAACCGAATCCTCGGAAGACATCCATGCTAACCATTATCACGAAACTATTCTATGAAGGCTTTCTACTTCGAATTGATAAAAGAGCGAAAGAACGGGAAAGACGAATGCATTTACTACTCGTATTGATAAGCATTTTGAAAGAAAATCGACAAAAAATCCGAGATTTTCCCTAACGGGTACTTCTTCTCGCCTTTCAAACACAGAAACCAGTTCTAGAGTTTGAGGATTTGCAGTAACAATAATTATAGCTAGCCCCAATAGCCGTACGAATATATACTCCACATAAACGCTCCTAACGCCGATACATAGATGGAGCCATAGATACAAAGAGTAGCATAGTAACAGTCTGCCGATCGTGGAGAGCGTCCTCGGTTCGAGGTTGCCGGGCCCAGCCAGTCTTTGATTGAATCTTCTCGGCTCCTCCTTGTTGTCTATCCGATGTTGTTCCCTCGCTGCCTGGTTTCTTTGCGATGCTCTATAAGCTTGTAAGTTGGCTGCGAACTATCGGATGACTCACCCTTGCCCTTAGTGACTATTTGACTAGAAACGCTTGGCCCTCACACCCCTTTCACCAAGACTTCCGTCCTCTGACATTGAGTAAAAAGTCGGATAGTTGGAGCAAGGAACGAAAACACATCCGTGGAAGCGTAGAAGCCTACTGTCGCTTTGGGAATAAAAATCAGAAGTAGTTGCTGTGTACCCGTTGCGTGCATGTCTGCGTCTCGAGATGTGATGATGGATGACGGATGGTTTATTAGAGCGGATCAGAGAACCATCTTGCTACTCTGCGATTGGTCGCTGTGATTTTGGCAAAGAGATAGTAAAAGATCGGTGAAAAGGACGACAAAAACTGCAGAAAAGGTGAAACTGTGAACTCTGCCTTCGGCCGTCGTGATCCAATCTGCTACGTGGTAAATGAGTCGGTGGTATTTCCTGCACGATGACTATGGAGATATATACGGTCGATACCGTAGCCCATAATTTGCCGTGGAAGTGTTTACTACAAGTCGTACCAGTGAACTGAACAAGGTGCCTAAGGGAAGATATCCGGGTGTGCCGAATTCTCAATCACGAAGTCGTGACTCTGTGCCCACTGGAGGAGCAGATTCCAGTAGTGAAAGATAGGAAGAGCTCTTAGGGAACCCAGAATAAATTATCCGTGCTTGCAGCGAGCCACTGCTATGTTGATCCGTTTGCTGTCAAGAATTCTACAATGGAAGAATCGACGTCAGTTCTGGTGGTAAGGACAATGGTGACGTCCATCTCGCGCCCCTTCACCGAATCCACGCTGTGTAGGGCGACTCTATGCCTGCTTTTTGACTCTTTGAGACGAGATAGCTGTTCCTTGCGGAACGTGATGACGCTAATCGCTGCGGCGGAGATATCGCGGTGTAACAGTCCTCGAACGATGTCCTCACAGCATTGTGCCTCCTCGTCGTTGGAATGGGATTGCGTGTGAAAGGTCCACGAGGTTCCCTACACGTCCACGAATATGAATGGTACCCGCAAATGGTAGGGGAAGATGTGGATGTGATTGGCTGCGACTGCTGACCGCAAGTACAACTCCCAGAATATTCTGTTGTGCAGGGGTTGGAATGGACACAATAAATTCGTAAGCCCAAAAAAGAACGGATCGGCGACGCCCATGTCCGACGGTTGCGGAATTCGTGCTCGCAACCATGGGTGCAGATGTGAGAAGGCGTTCGCATAGTTCTCGGACGTCGACTGAAGCCGTGGTGAGTGAGTTGGATGCGACTGGAGGCCGAGGATGACTGAGACTATCCGGGTCTTCTTTGGATACGAAGAAGTCGACGGAGCATCATCTATAGAAGAAGATTTCCGTGAAGAAAAGGGCTCGCGATATTTTGAAAATACAGTGCAACGATGAGGCGCCCAAAGACGAGCAGAGCTACGCTGCGTGCAGATGCAAGGGGCGATAAGCACGAACGAATGCAACAAGTGCTAGTGAAGCAAAAAGCGACGGCAGCGATTAAAGAGCGCAACAGCAAATGATACAGAGTGACGCGAATGGAGAAGAGCTGGAGGAAGTGGCGAAGAATTTCTCATAAGATTAATAAAAGGTAATCAAAAAAAAAACAAAAACATTTGGAAGCAGTTTGGAAAAAACGTGCGGGTGCCTTGATTAACCTAAAGTCCAAAGCTAGCGGTCACTTACCAGAGGTGTTCAAATCACGGTCTCTTTTCTGCGCATCATTCTGATCACAAAACTGCTAGAAGCTATTCGAGAAAAAACTGTTCTTTCCCCTGTAGTGCGCACTATCCCTCTTGACAATGGTGTTGTACTGTGTACCCGATCTGAATACACTGAACAAACGACACAGGGCCCCTTTCACTGTACAGTACAGGCCGAACGCTGCCCGTGGGAGCAAACTCATCACAAATTCGGATGCATAAGGAAAGAGAAGAGAAGACAGAAAGTAAAAAAATAGTATGAAGAAGGGGATATAGAAGAAAAAATTCTCCAACTCGTGAATGAAACACTGTGAAAGAGAGTCGACCGACAGGAAACGAAGACGAAAAAAGCTAATTCCTAAGTAATAGTTTCTAGCGGTAGCACATCACACAAAGAAAGGACTCGCCGTCGCCCGGCTATTGAAAGGCTTCGCTGTTACCAAATACCTCCAATGTCCCGTACGACTGTCGACTCCGCATAAGCGCTTCTGACGCCCATATCTAGATACAGCCATAGATACAAAGATTAAGATAGCCGATCGTGGAGAGCGAGATTGCCGGACCCGGCCATCATTGAATGGATCTTCTCGACTGCTCCTCGTTGTCGATCCGATGTTCCCGCGCTTTCTCTGCGGTGTTCTGTAAGCTTGTAATTTGGCTGCGAACTATCGGATGACTCACTCTTGCCCTCATTGACCGTTCAACTAGAAATTCTCGGCTTACACAATGAACCAATTGAAACCCAACAAGTTGCATTGTTCTATATGTAATGAGGGTTTTCACCTGAACTCGTAAACGTTGCAATCAACTTCGCATATATGCATTGCAACCAATTTCGAAATTTCTCATTCTTTTTTTCGAGATTTTACAGCTCGTTTCGTCCTTTTCCCATTCTATTAGTCAATTTTGCCGCCAATCTCGATATGTAACGAATAACCTCATACTTTCTTGCCGCACAAATATAAATATCAGGTTTATTAGATATATGCAATAAACTACGAGATCAGTTCTGTTGCTAGGGAATAGTTGAGATCAGCAGGTAGGTAGGTGGGGTTGGTTTATAGAAGGTTGCTCTTGAAGCTTGCTACGATTGAATATGAAAAGGCTTCGGCTAGATTTTGACAGAGTGAATTCCTTGGATACAATTCCGTCATTGAGCTCTACATTTTCGATACGGATACTGAACTTTTTATTCTTTCTCGAGCATTTGAATTGCGACAGTGTAGAAGTGGTTAACAGTCGTGCACAACGTTCACGCAAGCTGAACAGCAACCAAACGGAGCAAAGAAAGTTCCTTTTTATCTGAGGCACGTGAGTCAGCTCGCACTGGGTTAAGTGAATTGCAAATGCGTATGACGGAAGCAACATTCACAGTTTGTAAAATTATGTTGCTGCAAGCGTCAATGCAAAATAAAAGTTGGCTTATGAAAGCGTTCAAAACATCGTTATCAGAATGAAAGTGTCAGAAGAGTTGTCGTCATTGTCCGCGAAGAGGACATGAAAAGTCCTTGCAAAAGATGGAGAGATCATTCAAAATGAGATACTAGCGAAAGCTCTCTATGGAGTCAAAGAGATACACGTTATTGATTGCGCACCCGAGCCATACCCATTGTGATGATTTCAAATGCCAAGCAAAACATTAACAGCGTACTTTGCAAATAATATAGCAGCGACGACATAGTAAAAGTTCAACTGAATCGCGATACAGTAGTGTCGAATCAATCATAAGCGGATGAAATGTTGTGTACGTGGGAGCATGATTGGCATCATGCGCCCTTCTCCGAGTCCATGCAAGACAAGGTACTATGCGAAGTTGCAAGCGGACGTCCACAACAGCTTCCGAGCTGCTCTACAAGGGTGACTATTCTGCCC